CTACGAACTGAATCGATGCTGACTGATAATACCATATGTGACATTTATTTTGTTTACTGTACACTAATCAACAGCTACGAACTGAATCGATGCTGACTGATAATACCATATGTGACATTTATTTTGTTTACTGTACACTAATCAACAGATACGAACTGAATCGATGCTGACTGATAATACCATATGTGACATTTATTTTGTTTACTGTACACTAATCTACAGATACGAACTGAATTGATACTGACTGATATTACCATACGTGGCATTTATTACTTTTACTGTAACTAATCAACAGATACGAACTGAATCGATGCTGACTGATATTACCATATGTGGCATTTATTACTTTTACTGTACACTAATCAACAGATATGAACTGAATCGATGCTGACTGATAATACCATATGTGACATTTATTACTTTTACTGTACACTAATCAACAGATACGAACTGAATCGATGCTGACTGATATTACCATATGTGGTATTTATCACTTTTACGATTTATTATTCAGTGATAATTAATGATAAAGCAGGGAGAGTACTTATGGTTAACATGTCAGAGAGTTCGAGGTTCGTTGCGCTCCGCACATTCAGCAGTGGACATATTGTTATAAATGATAGTAAACTCTTCATACATAACTTTGTAGCAGAAGAGGCATTCAAATTGCAAATGTCAAGTATCATTATTAATCACTGTAATGCCACAACTGGTAACATTATTAACAGGCAGCATTATTAATCACTTTAATGATATAACAGGCAGCATTATTAATCACTTTAATGATATAACAGGCAGCATTATTAATCACTTTAATGATATAACAGGCAGCATTATTAATCACTTTAATGCGACAAAACTATTTCTTACTCGTTTTTTAGCATTCAGACTCAACAAAGTGACAGAAGACCTATTGGTCATCCATATCATCTTCAAATTTACTCTTTTTGTTGATGACCAACTTGAACTGGTAGTAATAAATAAAAATTTCTGTCTGACCTCTGGGGGTGCTGACAAAACCTAAAAACACTTTTAAAACATTAAGTAAATGAGTTTAGGAAGATATGTACGAGGCTTAGGTAAATAAAACTGAAAAAGAAATAGAACTGAGGCTTAGCTTAGGTTGAAAATACTGGCAAGATTAATGTCGATCAAGGTTTAGCTTAAATTGAAAGTACCACAAATCGGTCACTCTCCGTCCAATAACAGACTTCGTGAATGTGATTAATCTCTAAATAATTAGAAATAATTCGTGAACCAATGTTTTTCTGGATGTTTAAGAGTTTTGTGGTTTAGTTGTTACTTTTAAAGTGCACTTCCCGTTTAAGGCGCTAAGTGCAAAACTTGTACAAAACGTTCAGGTCAACTGTACGCATGTTCTTAAAACATCAACGTTACACAGTCCACACTTATCACCATTTAGATAAAATTTGTACAAACTAGGCTTAATTAGTAGGAATTGTTAAATAAAACTTGTACATGATACAGTATGGTTAGTGCTACCAAACAACGAGATGCCTGTTCATCTTATATACAACATAACGTAACTCTCTCTCACATGATACGAGAAGTTTTCATTCAAGGCCACGTCATTTTTCAAACCAAATATGTTCCCTGGAAAAAAGAACATGTAGAGGACAATACTGTGGAGTTAGGACAAAGTCATACAAAACAACAACTGATATAAGCTGTTTCTTGCACACTTGTATAATTCATTGCACCTGTTAAAATGAATTCTACAAACACTTGCTAGGTACGCGTTGTTAGGTGAACAGAGGTGCTGTACATTTTACAGAATGAAGACTGGACCAGAATAATTACTGTGACTCTCGTATTAACCCCCACCTTCATAAATAGTTTCCTACTTTAAAAGGGCCAGGAGTAGCGTTATAAGAGTGACAATTAAATCAAGCTTCAAGGAGGTGATGATTTATTAGGTTCTTTCCCTCTAGTCTATCTATTCTTTGGCTATCTATTCGTCGAATTTGGAACACGATTACAACAGCGAAGTATAGATGATAATTTCTTTCTTTCTTTTATACAAATCCCACACAAGCCCCCTTTCTCTAATTATAGTAGTCACAGGAACAGTGAAACATCGCTTCAAATACTTTGTTGTATTGTAATTAAATACCAAAAACGTAGTAACGTTTGTTAAATTTTTACGTGAAATTTAGGTCATTAAAACAACTATCGTGCGCTGGAAAATGGCAGAACTTTCGAAATCAAGTACCATTCCTAGTATAGAGGAAATGTATACAACCAGGTTAGGTAAAAAACTACTTGAAAGACAAGTTTTTACTGCAAGCATGTTAAATATAGAGGAAATGTATACAACCAGGTTAGGTAAAAAAACTACTTGAAAGACAAGTTTTTACTGCAAGCATGTTAAAACGTTAT